GCAAATAGGTATAAAAACAGACCATTTTTTAAAAGATCTAAGTTTTTCGGACATCATAATTAGGCCGAAATTGCATTAATTTTAATTCGGAAAGCTTTTCTGTGCTATTTTTTATTGCACCAACAAATCTGGATACTGCGTTTGTTGATGTTATTGTCAGTTTCTCACTAAAATCATAAAAACCTGCAGAAAGGTATAAAAACAGAACATTTTTTCCGAAAATCATAGTTTAAAAAACTCATAACTAAGCCAAAAAATCATTAATTTTAATTCGGAAAGCTGTTCTATGCTAGTTTTTAGTCAAATAACAAAGCTGCATACTCAGTTTTATAATTTACAAAATTCAATTTTTTGTCAATTTTTGGCAATTTTAATGATGTAACCCCTTATAAAATTTTCAATTTTCGAAAAAATGTGAAAAATTTATTTTTTGACTGGACATGACTAGAACGACTGGGCTATTGATGCTGATCAAGAATATATATGGTTTATAGGGTCGGAAATGACTCCTTCATTACGTTTCAAGCTTCTGACTTAAATTATATTCTGCAAATAGGTATAAAAACAGACCATTTTTTAAAAAGATCTAAGTTTTTCGGACATCATAATTAGGCCGAAATTGCATTAATTTTAATTCGGAAAGCTTTTCTGTGCTAGTTTTTATTGCACCAACAAATCTGCATACTGCGTTTGTTGATGTTATTGTCAGTTTCTGACTAAAATCATAAAAACCTGCAGAAAGGTATAAAAACAAAACATTTTTTCCGAAAATCATAGTTTAAAAAACTCATAACTAAGCCAAAAAATCATTAATTTTAATTCGGAAAGCTGTTCTCTGCTAGTTTTTAGTCAAATAACAAAGCTGCATACTCAGTTTTATAATTTACAAAATTCAATTTTTTGTAAATTTTTGGCAATTTTAATGATGTAACCCCTTATAAAATTTTCAATTTTCGAAAAAATGTGAAAATTTATTTTTTGACTGGACATGACTAGAACGACTGGGCTATTGATGCTGATCAAGAATATATATGGTTTATAGGGTCGGAAATGACTCCTTCATTACGTTTCAAGCTTCTGACTTAAATTATATTCTGCAAATAGGTATAAAAACAGACCATTTTTTAAAAAGATCTAAGTTTTTCGGACATCATAATTAGGCCGAAATTGCATTAATTTTAATTCGGAAAGCTTTTCTGTGCTAGTTTTTATTGCACCAACAAATCTGCATACTGCAGAAAGGTATAAAAACAGAACATTTTTTCCGAAAATCATAGTTTAAAAAAACTCATAACTAAGCCAAAAAATCATTAATTTTAATTCGGAAAGCTGTTCTCTGCTAGTTTTTAGTCAAATAACAAAGCTGCATACTCAGTTTTATAATTTACAAAATTCAATTTTTTGTCAATTTTTGGCAATTTTAATGATGTAACCCCTTATAAAATTTTAAATTTTCGAAAAAATGCGAAAAATTTATTTTTTGACTGGACATGACTAGAACGACTGGGCTATTGATGCTGATCAAGAATATATATGGTTTATAGGGTCGGAAATGACTCCTTCATTACGTTTCAAGCTTCTGACTTAAATTATATTCTGCAAATAGGTATAAAAACAGACCATTTTTTAAAAAGATCTAAGTTTTTCGGACATCATAATTAGGCCGAAATTGCATTAATTTTAATTCGGAAAGCTTTTCTGTGCTAGTTTTTATTGCACCAACAAATCTGCATACTGCAGAAAGGTATAAAAACAGAACATTTTTTCCGAAAATCATAGTTTAAAAAAACTCATAACTAAGCCAAAAAATCATTAATTTTAATTCGGAAAGCTGTTCTCTGCTAGTTTTTAGTCAAATAACAAAGCTGCATACTCAGTTTTATAATTTACAAAATTCAATTTTTTGGCAATTTTTGGCAATTTTAATGATGTAACCCCTTATAAAATTTTCAATTTTCGAAAAAATGTGAAAATTTATTTTTTGACCGGACATGGCTAGAACGACTGGGCTGTTGATGCTGATCAAGAATATATATGGTTTATAGGGTCGGAAATGACTCCTTCATTACGTTTCAAGCTTCTGACTTAAATTATATTCTGCAAATAGGTATAAAAACAGACCATTTTTTAAAAAGATCTAAGTTTTTCGGACATCATAATTAGGCCGAAATTGCATTAATTTTAATTCGGAAAGCTTTTCTGTGCTATTTTTTATTGCACCAACAAATCTGGATACTGCGTTTGTTTATGTTATTGTCAGTTTCTCACTAAAATCATAAAAACCTGCAGAAAGGTATAAAAACAGAAAATTTTTTCCGAAAATCATAGTTTAAAAAAACTCATAACTAAGCCAAAAAATCATTAATTTTAATTCGGAAAGCTGTTCTATGCTAGTTTTTAGTCAAATAACAAAGCTGCATACTCAGTTTTATGATTTACAAAATTCAATTTTTTGTCAATTTTTGGCAATTTTAATGATGTAACCCCTTATAAAATTTTCAATTTTCGAAAAAATGTGAAAAATTTATTTTTTGACTGGACATGGCTAGAACGACTGGGCTGTTGATGCTGATCAAGAATATATATGGTTAATAAGGTCGGAAATGACTCCTTCATTACCTTTCAAGCTTCTGACTTAAATTATATTCTGCAAATAGGTATAAAAACAGACCATTTTTTAAAAAGATCTAAGTTTTTCGGACATCATAATTAGGCCGAAATTGCATTAATTTTAATTCGGAAAGCTTTTCTGTGCTATTTTTTATTGCACCAAAAATCTGCAAACTGCGTTTGTTGATGTTATTGTCAGTTTCTGACTAAAATCATACAAATCGGCAGAAAGGTATAAAACAGAACATTTTTTCCGAAAATCATAGTTTAAAAAAACTCATAACTAAGCCAAAAAAATCATTAATTTTAATTCGGAAACCTGTTCTATGCTAGTTTTTAGTCAAATAACAAAGCTGCATACTCAGTTTTATAATTTTCAAAAGTCAATTTTTTGTCAATTTTTGGCAATTTTAATGATGTAACCCCTTATAAAATTTTCAATTTTCGAAAAAATGTGAAAAATTTATTTTTTGACCGGACATGGCTAGAACGACTGGGCTGTTGATGCTGATCAAGAATATATATGGTTTATAGGGTCGGAAATTACTCCTTCAAATAATTTCAAGCATCTGACTAAAAGTAGATCGGCTCGCCTGGTAATGCTGATCAAGTTTTTTTTGTCACAATGTTTCCTATTTCTTACATTTTCGGGGCACATATCTTATCATATCGTTAAACCCCATTGGTAGCAGGTAATTATATTTACCGCGTGCTGGTTTATAAGTAAAAGGTATCTTTTACTTTTTCAAACCATAGGTTTTTAGGCTTTATAATCATTTTCTTGCTATACATCCTCATGTAGACCTATATTCTGAATGAAATGTAACAAGCAGCGCATTTGGTCACGTCAGCTTAGCAGTTAAATGCAAGTATCTCTCACAAAATACCTATTTAGGGAAAAATAATAATTTTAAAACGTGACAATCACAAAATTTCTCACTGACCGCCAGAAAGTCGTTGAACCAAATATTTCTCGTAAGACAAGGTAGAACATGGCTCGTTTGTGATTTCTACTAAGCCATCAGATAATTACCAACATTTGTTTATATCTTCACTATATATTGGAACTGTGGGTCAACCTTGTTGAATTGGTGGAATAGATAAAGATTAAAGTAATGTTTGCAGCTGCACCCACAACTGAACTATGATAGATAGAACCTAACCAGGTCGGACACACGTTTCAGAACCTTTAGTTGGGCTACTTAAGACACAGTTCGAATCGACAGCAGACACACTACTTTGGAAGTTCAACAGAGAAGCATCATGAGAATCCAATTCCTGTTTACAACGGTCTGCTTTTGCCTCTTTTGGTCCGCTTTCGCCCAGAATGTATCCACGGATTTCAAGAAGCCTTCGGAAGCGGAGGCCGTCAAAGTCCTGAAGAAAAGCAACGAGGAAGTGGAAAAACTTGTCCGAATAGCGCTTGATGTGAACAACAAGAGCAAAAGTTTCGAGGAAAAGATCAAATTTTGAGAGATGAGATTGAGCGCATTGCAGAATTGGACAAGGTTCTAATCAAACTCGAAGAAAAGGTTGTTGACAGCTTCCAGGACACATCCGCTGGGCTAACAAATTTAACAGCCATAGTCACGGCAACCCAAAACCGAAACGAGCAGGCCATTCAAAACCTCACCAAGGTGGAACTGGAAGTGAGAAGTGCGTTGGGCAAGGTTGATGTCAACCAGAACAAATATGAGCAAAACCTAAATGAATTGGGCACATCTATCAACACTCATTTGGCCGAGATCGAACAGATATTAAAGCAGGCGATAATCAAAGAGCTCAATGGTTTGGATGGTAAGGTCAAGGTGCTTCACCGGCAGCAGCGCAACATCGACGGTCAGTTGGGGCATTTGGATGAGCTGAGTGGTCTGGCTGACCGAGCTAATCTCAAGTTAAATCAGCTGGAGTGCGGTCTCACCACGCTGAATAGCACCCAAGCCAAGAGCCTCAACAGTATTGAGAACACGGTTCGCGGAGTGCAAGTGGCGACCTTCCAGATCGATCAAAAGCTCGCCATCCTGCTAAACAATCAGAAGAATATCGACAAGACTCTGGAGCACTGCAAGCACAAACACCAGCCACACCAGAAGGCCCACGAGATCTGGACCCATTCTGGATACGCACCCGACCACAAGTGAGTACCAACCCAACTGTTAAGTGTGTTCCACACATTTTAATAATCCCGCTATATCTGTCTTTTAGATCGCAGCCAGAGCAAAAGCCAGGATACCAACAGAGCAGCCATGTTTCAGAGGAGGAAGCCGAGTACCTGTACAAGCTCTGGTACGGCAAGGGTAATCAGTAAAGAATAAATGAGCAAACGAAAAACCATAGCAAAGTATATCTTCTAACTTTTGTTTAACCCTATGAGTTATTAAACATCCGAATAAATTTATAATTCATCTATTTTCTAAAACGCAATTCAGAAGATATGTTTCATTATACCCTTGTAGGGTATAGTTTTAGTTAGAAGAAACGCAGGCTTTAACTTATACAAATTCATCAATATTAAGCACTTGTGTTACTCTTGCCGATTCTTGTCTCCTTATCTAATACTAAAATAAATCTAATAAATGCGCAAATTTAATATCATCAAAGACGCAATCGTCTATAACTTGTTGGGGTCCAAGGGATGCACCTGACCATCTGTCCTATCGAAGTTTATTAGCAGCTGCGATTGATGTTGGTTCCAGTGCTCCGAGCGGTGAAGTCTTCCGTTAGCCTTCGACCGAAAGTCTTCAACTGACAGACCAGTCTCTATCTGTCATTACTAGCATCTGGATCGACGGGATACGCATCGTCGCCAGGCAAGAGATGAACGACTCCATTTTTGCATTTGTACATTACAGGATGGATCAGATCAATGCCCTTCTCGGAACGCTTTTCGGCAAACTTCCGTAAATCATCCAAAGATGGAAAGTTCAGGCAACGGGATAGCTCATAGAATTGGGGTGGCGGCAACCAGAGCTTCTTCGTCAAGCAAGCCTGAAGGTAGTCCAAGGGGGAGCGCCACGCACAGTCCTTGACCTCATTTGGTTCGATGTGCACACTAGGCTCCTGCTCCAAAGCCGCCATAAAGAAGGCCGTTTCGAATCGCTTCTTAAATGTGGACGGTGTGCGCCAGACGGACCACTCGTGCAGGGACCACACATCGGGCAGCACTTCCAGCTCTTTGCAGAGCGTCAGGAACTTGCTGGCGTCGTTGTGAACGACATGCTGCCAGTGTGCTCGATCAAACTGCTCGTGGAACTGTCCGAAGCCACTGGTAGAGGTCAGAGATTTCCTGTCCCGGCACAACAAGATGCCCAATTCCTCAAAGGTCTCTCTTATGGCGGTTAGCCGCAAGGACAAGGAGCTATGGAAAAGACAAGAAGTTACAGAATGGCTTTTCCAGAGAGCCAGTACACAATCTTACGGATCTATACCCTCGTTATCTCCTATAGACTTGAAAATCTCCGGTCGCGGCCCCTTTATTTTGCTTAAGTCTTGCAGCTTGGCTAAGCTGATTTCGCTTCGCTGGAAGTGCTCTAACCAAGAGGGTGAACTGTCTGTGCCATCACATACGCCACCGGGAAAGACCGAGGACTCTGGCATAAAAGTTGACTTTGGTGTACGAGTCAAGAGCAGGGCCTAATCATCATTCAATTAATAAGATTAGTAAAGATTAAGATTTAGCTAATGCAAATAAAGGCTCACATTGTAGTCGAAGGACTTGGGCTTCGCAGCCCGACTTCTGGCCAGCAGAATAAGGCTGGAAGACAGTCGGATTTTGGGCAACACCTGTTTGGACATCTCGTTTAGGTAACTGAGAGCGATACCGATTTCGATTGGTAGCATTATCGATTGCTCGTCAGCTGTTTCTTATAGCGCATACCTGTTGATTAGGGAGTATATATATCTGTATAAATTAATGCATAGCTACAAATTGTGACAATTCTAGTATAAATCTCTATTGTCTGGATTTTCTTAGAGGAAACGTGGTTTTTTTCTTTCAAGGACACGTTACCTCATATCATTATTAATACCAGTTGATTTTATAAATCTTATTTAAAAGGGTATCTACAAGTCGACTACCTTAGAAAAAGGGGTGCTAAGGAGCAAAGGTTTCAAAGACTAAACTTTAAAGTTTGGATCACGGATTTGTACGTCTGCAAACAATGGTAGCTCATCCTAAGAAGAGTACATACAGGTCTTCTGCTAGCCTCATATTGGCTGCCAAAGAGGATTCCAACAAAGATTATGACTACAGTGTGAGTTTACCAAAGTTTGACCAAAGGTAACAATACAAATTCAAATAATTGGTTTACTTTTCCTTTAAGTTACTTTTGATTAAACGCACCGAGAGCACATCCTATACCATTAATCACTGCGTCTTTCCTGGAGGCGTGTTTGATCCCCGAGATGATGAATCTTCCGAGTGGTTGAACTACTTCCGCTCCTTCGGAGTAACCGCTGAGCAGTTGAAAGTGCTTACCCAAGATCAGCAGTCTCCTAGGCCGCAGTTCCTCTCTGGTGGGCAGCACTTTTCCAGGGACATCGCCTTAAGGTTGACTGCCCTCAGGGAAGCCTTCGAGGAAGTGGGAATCCTGATTTGTTTAAACCGTGATTGCCTGAATAATTGGGACGACACCGCAAAGACGCCAGCACCACGGACTTTAACCTTGGACCCCATCAGTGATCGCTCTGAATGGCAAAGTCGTGTTCACAATGATGCCTCGCAATTTTTGGAGTTGTGTAAACATTTTAATGTAATACCGAACCTGTGGGCCCTTCACGAGTGGTCTGTTTGGCGTACAGCGGCCACGGCCAATCGAAAGTATGATACGGTTTACTACGTTGCCACGCTGGATAATCATGCCAAAAATGTGAGTCTGCTTCTGGAACCGCAAGAGGTGGCTTCAGCTCACTGGATGAGCCCAAAAGAGGCCTGGTCCCGCTCCCAAGACGGCTCCATTTGGCTGCCTTTTATGCTGCTGTACGACACGGCTCGACTGATGAATTTCCACAGCTGCCAGGAGCTGGCCGACTTTTCTCGCCATCGGAGCACGTGGGGCGGCACAATGGTGCAACCCGTCTACTATCGCTGCGATGAATGCATGTTCGGAGTGCTTCCTGGAGATGAACTGTACCCTAGCGATCCCGGCGCTTGCACACAAACTATCATCCTGCCCGAATCATTACAGGACCAACATCGCACTGCCAAGCGATACAACCGCTATATCATCTACGACTTCCATAAGGTAGTGCTCGCATCCAATGTTCCGCCTATCGATGGTCATCTGCAGCTGCAACCACTAGTCAACACAAAGTTGGCAAAGTTATAGTGTGGAAAATATATTTAATTTTATATATAACAACTATATACCACTGTCCAACTCCGTCTGTATGCGATGGCAAGCATGGCACAGGCCATCCTGGGACTTCAGCCGTTTCTTAGCCATTCCTTCGAGATCTTCGCCGTTCTTGTAGAGAGCCACGCCTGCCTCGGACACCGAACGCGAATACTCGATGGCCAGGAGAGTGTCTGAGAGTTGGAAATCCAGCGCAGACTGGCAGTGAACACAACTGGCCTGTTCAGGGTGCGTTTTGGGAGCAATTTTGTCCCCAGTCCGGAACACTGTAGACACGGTGGAAGCGTAGTTCTGCTGCAGGTTGGTTACGAACGCCGACGTGAGGTTCTGCAGGCTGGCGGCCTCTCCGCGCTCCTGGCCATACCGGAGACAACTTTTGAGAAGTGGTTTAAGTCGCTGGGCATGCACATAGAACTGTACCTCCTGCTCGTTGAGGTCTTTCAAGGGTCGAAGAAGTTTGACGCCACCGGCCAGTCGGTCATCCAGGAGAGCCACATCTAAGGCAGCGCTGCCACCTCGTCCCAAAGCGATCGTCGTCAGCAATTGCGTGGCCAAGTCCACACTTATACTGGATTCAAAAACATGGCTGCAATGGAGCTGCTGGGCCACTGAAGCAATTAGGTTCTTGCGCTCCTGCTGCAGGTAATCCTGGCGAGCTGTAAGGCTTCGCAGTTTTTCCAGTTTAATCGCAAGTCTGCCGATTTCTTTGGAAGCGGTGGGAGAGTACTCCTTAATAGTGCGTAGAGAGCTGGCCGGTGCCCCCAACTCTATCACATGAAATTCAAAGGGTTCGTATTGTTGAGACAATGCTTGAAGAGATTCCACATCTACAGAATCGCCCTGCTGCAGTGTTTGGTCCTCCACGTAGACCACACGAGCATTGCAATGAAGCCTTTTGAATGTGTTCTGCGTCTGGGCGAAGTGCAGCATATCCATCAGCACCAGGGACTCGGCAGAGCCATCAAGCACCAGGAGGACCTCCGAATCTCGAGGCAGAACTTTGGCTGCGCCCAGCGCTGCCCTGAACTTGTGCCTCACATAGTTAAGAAAGCAAGCACGGCACTCCGGCGTCCGGAAGCTCAGTTTGTACAGCTCGGAGGATGATGTGCCGCATTTGGCGCAGTCCCCTGTGCTCAGAACTATGCCAGCGGGCAGGGACTCTGCCACCATGGCATGGACTCCTCCCTCGTCGCCGAAATCATCTTCACCTATACTGCACATGGCAATTTACGAGAATTTCACAGAAACACGAAATGACCAGGGATGAATTGTCATTTCGATGTAAGTAGCCAGTGGTGCTCAGATGTCTTTTATCATCGAGTAATATCACTGGGCATGCGAAATGTAACAAAAACGTTCTCTTCAATGAAACTTTCATTTTTATCATATTTTTTTTTTGCTGCTTATTATCTCTAAGTTAATACATACAAATAATTAGTGACCTATGTGTATTGAGAATTCAGCTAGTTTAAATAGAAGGTTTTCTGCCAGCACAAGTAAGAGGGTATCGGCTACCAACTATCGATACAGTATATCGACTACGCAGCCTAGACTCGTCCAGAAGCAACCTTGCAACAGAAAGTGCAGTGAAAAATACAAAAATAGCTGTTAAAACTACAATAAATTGTACAAAAACTATTGATAAGTTAAATTTAAGACAGGAGGTACGTGCCAAAGGTGTTTTTGTGAGATAATTTGATCAACAAGCATCCCAAAATTGGGCGCAAAAAACTGGGTGCTGCTGGTGGGACATATGTGAATGCCTGTGCCTGCGTGAGTGTGTGTGCGTGCGTCTGTGTGTGTGTGCTCTCATACGCAAGCAAAAAGTATCGGGTAGCAAAAAAATCGAGAAACTTTCTTATTGACGATAGCCGAGCGAACAAGAAGAAGCAGCTGACATTTGAGGAAAACGGGAAAAGATCCCGAAAAGCCAGCAAAAATAAGCTAATCGCCGCCATCTACTTTTAGCAGATCGCACCAAAAGTCTATTGAGCCCTAGAGCAGACTGGAATCGTCATCATCGAAGCAGGGCGATAGAGGTCATCTTATAAATAAATTTTTCGGGCGTGTGTGCATGTGTGTGCGCCTCACCCCGAGAACTATTAACCCCCTACCCGAACCAGAGCTCAGACCAACGCAAGCAGCAGCCAACAACAACAGCAGCAGCAAGCAGTAGCATCTAACCCGCCTCAGCATGATACTGGAGAACTCCGACAAGCTCAAGGACTGGCTGAGCGTGGTCTTGGAGCCACTGTAAGTAGCAGAGCATAGCTTGTCCTCTTTGAACTTTTTCATTAAGCGAACCCTTCCCATTTTATGCGCCACAGTTGCGATGCAGACTCCTCGGCCTTGGCGCGCTACGTTATCGCACTGCTCAAGAAAGACAAATCGGATAAGGATCTCAAGCGGATCATGATCGAACAGCTCGACGTCTTTCTGTCCGAGGAAACGACACGCTTTGTTGAACGATTGTTCGATGCCATTGCCAGCGAGGAGTATCTGACGCTGCCCGCCCCACTGCCATCGACGGCCAATAGCGCCGCTGCCACCGCCGCTGAGCTGGATCTCGACCATGAACTGGCCTTGGCCATTGACGGGGCACATGATGACATCGAGGCCGTGCTGGCCGCCGATTCACCACCGCCTCCGGCACCTAAAGACAATGTGATAACCCTCGAGAGCAATCAGGCTGCGTTGGACCAAGTGAGCCACCATGCTAGAGAAGCTGAGGCGCTCGCCTTTGTTAGCCAGGAAAGTGGCTTTGCCTCGAACTCTACTACAGATGCCAAGACAGCCTTCGATGTGAGTATTATTGAATCCAAAGAATTTGACAGCATTGTTAATCTTTTCTTGCATTAATTTCTTGCAGCAGAAAACCAAAGATTCCCACAATCTGCAGTCCGCCTCCTCCCACTACCAACACCAACACCATGTACGTAGCGCTAGTCCACCTACAGCCAGAAGCAGCGGAAGTGGTGGTGGAGGAGTAGGCCTGGTGGCGGGCTATGCCGACAAGGAGAACCAACCACGCGACAGTCGTCGGCGACGTGCTTCCCTTCGGTCTCGGTCCCGTTCCCGTTCGCGGTCCAATGAGCGTGCCTTCCGCCGCTCCAGATCCCGCGATCGACGGGCGAACGAGCGCGAGAAAACCCAACGCCAGTTCCGGAATAAATCCCCGCCAGGCTCTCAGACTGATAACCGCCACGGTCACGGACGACGCAACTTTGACCGCCGTCGCATCGCCGGTGGCAATAATGGGGACGAACGGCCTCGCTTTGGAAACAACAAGAGCCGCCGGTCGCACAGCCGATCCATGTCGCCCGATCGGAGCTCACGGCGGAATCAGCAGGGGTCACCGGATCGAGGACAGGCTGCTGGTCAAGTAATCCAACCAGTTCCTGTACCAGTTGTACCTCCCGCACCCGTTGAGCATCCAGCCGCGCTCCATCCACGCCAGCGCTGTCGTGACTTCGACGAGAAGGGCTATTGCGTAAGGGGAGAGACGTGCCCCTGGGATCACGGAATCAACCCTGTTGTTTTCGAAGGTATCAACAACTCAGCCCTTATGATGTCCATGCGAGAGTACAATCCAGATGCGCCCGAGATTTGGACGCGAGGAGGAGGGCCGCCGCCAGGAGCTGGGGGTCAGGGACCAGTAGCACCACCAGCGCCGGGTCCCGGGCAGACCACTATTAACCCATTCAGTGGTAATGTGCGACCCAACACGCTGATGAGCGGCGGCGCCGGTCCAAATCCGATGGGCGTGCCCAATCCCGCTGACTATGCTCGTAATCCTGGCGGTCCACCACCACCACCCGCTATGATGCCATTCCCCTTCAATCCTACGGCGGTAACAACACCACTTCAGCGCCAATTGATACCTATACCCGTGGTTGATGGTGCCCCGCTTCGGGTGGAGTGGCAGAGATAGGAAAGCGGCGATTCGAGCTAGAGGACTCCGTGGCCATTGCTGATGTACCAACGAAGCGCAAAGTACCGATCAACAGTCGACTCGGTCCACGGATTAATCCCAATATGCAGCAGCACAACAGCTCTCTAGAGTTGAGAAAGGTGCCGAGGGGACTAAACACCATCGCCCATTTGAACAATCACTTTGCCAAGTTTGGCAAGATTGTCAACATCCAAGTCTCGTACGAAGGCGATCCCGAGGCAGCCATAGTCACATTCTCCACGCACGCGGAGGCCAATGTGGCCTACAGGAGCACTGAAGCGGTGCTCAACAACAGATTTATCAAGGTTTTCTGGCACAACGACAGTAGCGGCGTTGATGTTGGTCAGGTTAATCCGATGGGTAGCGGCGTTGGAGGTGGCGGCCGAAAGAATGCTAGCCAATATCATTTGCACAACGTGCCCGCCGTACCCACGCCGAATGCAGATGGTGCAAAGATCACTAATACCAATCCCCTGACTGAAGCGAGTGCGGGTAACAACAATGCCACGCCATCGACAGAACAGCAGGCCAGCACCGCGGCTCCCGCCTCTATGCGTCTCAAGCTTAACACAACGACAGGAGGAACGGAGGAGCAGGCGCAGGTGGAGCAGCGGCAGGTGGAGCAGGTGCTGGTCGTACTTTGAATCCGGCTGCGAATGCCGCGAGCATACGCAAGAAGAAGGAGGAACAGCAGAAAGCGGTGCATCAGCTAGCAAACGGACTGCGCAAAGGAAACAGGAGCTACTTCAGAGCTATGTCAAGCAAGTGAAGACTGCTCTGGAGCTTGTTGAACGGATGGACCTGAACGATGCCCAGCGTCCGCTGACTCTGCAGACAATCAAAGTGCTGCAGGAGAACATTGACAAGCTAAGCAAGGATGTCCATGCCGATCAGGATCAGTTGCAGGCGCAAATCCAGCAACAACAGCAGCAGCAGCCGCCCATTAAGAAGACCAAGGAGCAACAGAAGAAGGAGCTGCTGGACATGGAGCTGGAGCTAATTGCCCAGCAACAGGAGGGTACGACACATCGGCCATACAGAAGCGATTGGAAGAGCTACAGCGAAATTTGGGCGTTGGGGACCCCAAGCCGCGCACAACAACAGCAAGGCGCCCCACTTTGTAACCTCTTCGGGAGTAGCTGGCGGTGCCGCAGGACGTAAGCGGCCCAACTTGCCAGAAGGACCGACGCGAGTGGATCGAAGACCAAAAGCCATTGTGGTCACTGGCTTTGCGGCGGAAGAGGCGGACTTTGTCCTGGGCACTTCAAGGTAAGCTCTCTCAGCAATTTGTAGATTGAATTGGATGGATGCGAAGATGAGCACTTTTCTTATACATTGCTTTCCTTTCACAGAATTTCGGTGAGATTTCTAAGCATGATGTAGACCGCGAGATTCCACAGTTAATACTCTCCTATGCGACCCGCCTCAATGCTGAGCAGGCCGTGCTCCGTGGCAAAATGTACAAAGACAAGCTCCTGCAGTGAGTGAAGATGAGAGAATGAAGTAGTTCTTCTAGAAAATATCATGATTGAATTATTTTTGCAGATTTCGTGGCGCCTGTGGTTACAACCAACGGCACCTGCTCCAATGGCAGCGCCCTCTGTGGAGAAGACTTCGGTCCCAGAGAACCCCAAACAATTGATTCAGTCCGTCAGCAGAGCGAGAGCCTGTTGGGCAGCGACACGCTTCCGGAGTTGCGTCTAGAGGATGAAGAGGAGGATGAGGAGTCCGAGGATCGGTCGTGGCGTCGTTGATGCACCGCCCTGCGCTGCTAAGGCGACGGGCGAGCAAGCTCCAAGTGGCTCACAAACTGTTAGGCAGCCCTTAACATGTGTTTGTTGTTATTCTATATCTTAATGTGGTGGAGTGTGCTGTCGTAGTGCAGGAGCAGAAGCCTAGCGAAGCACTCGTAGCATCTCCAAACATGATTAAAAAACGCTCTAAATATTACTAATATTTAATTGAACATAAATTATGAATCGCCTACAAAAATACGAATGAGTTTTTAGCTAAGCCTAAGTCCGAAGTAGCAACACTAAACCTAGAACTAAAACTTCAACTGCGAAATGCGAACCAACAACTCCACAGCTCTGTGCGAAGCCGGGCTGTCCAATCATTGGTCAGACACCGCGGAACTACTCTTTGTATTTACACATTTTTCACTCTATCCTTTATTATATACAAATTTTATATATATAACATATATAAATGCATATATATAATTGTTAAGATTTTATGTTGAGTTAAAAAACATAAATACTAAAAGAACACAAAAAAATTGCAAAAGAAAAAGTCCCCCAAAAACAAGCGCAATGAAAATAAGTCAAAAAGAAAAAGAAACAAAATATATAGCAACGTGAAAGAGAAAACAAACAGCAAAGTTATATAGAGAGATATATAATAATAAAGTAAATAGTTTCGTATTTCAGGAAGTCCAAAAATTCTTTTTTCTGTGGGTGGGAGAATATTATTTTCAATACTATTTATATACCCTTGCAGAGTAATAATAATTCAAGTAAGCAAAAATGCCAGTAAATCGAAAAATCGAGTGGAAAAATTGAGTGAAAATGGCTTGCACCAAAGTAAGTTCTCCCTCTCCTGATTCTGTTGGCCTGGTGCTTGAAATCGAAAAGTCGGTGAATTTGTAGTGAAAACGTCCAAATTGAAGCCTTGTTTTGGCAACAACAACAACAAAACTGTTGTACAACAAACACATTTTTACAACAACAACATTTTGCTGTTTAATTCCTCCAAAACTGCAAGTGAGTGAAGATATGCTGATCTAGGTGGTGAGTAAAAATAATGAGTGAAAATAATGTCATGAGTGAAAATGGCTTGCACAAAAATTGGAGGCTGGACTTTTGCTACAACAAAAGAACTGTTGCACAACAAACAAATTTTTACACAACATTTTGTGTTTTAGTTTTTTAATGAAGCATTTGATAATATGCATATTTTCTTTAAAATATATTTTAAAGCAATTTTCTCAAAAATTTAAATTTTCTGTGTTAAGTCCGATAAAATTCGATAGACGCATATCGATAGTACTACCGTGAGGGCTTACCCATCTCTGGACCGTGGCGCGACTGAATTGTTTTCTGACTAATTGGTTTTAAATGGCAATATTACTAAATGAATATCAAATTTATTGAATGGTTGTGTTTCTAAGATGCTTCCCGCTCCGTCATCGCCGTACAGAGACGTTGTTACGCTAACCAAACTAGGGAGATGAAGTTCCTAATGTGGCTGAGAAGAACGACGCGGCCAAGACGATAGCCGGCCTATTGTCCCAAGGTGCGGCACGGCGGGTAAGCAACCAGGTTGGAGGAATTTATGAATATTTTACTATTTCCATTTACTACGCAGCGCGAGGGGTACTCGGTATACAACAAAGTATACGACTTTGAGGCGCCTGTGCGCGGCCAAAATGCCAAGATGGTTATGACCTCCGTCTCCGGCCACTTGATGCAGTTGGGATTCCCGGTATCCTATCGAAACTGGCGCGTCGTTGATCCGCGCTCGCTGTTCGATGCGCCCGTAAAGAAGAGTGTCGCTGCGGACTATGAGCCCATCAAACGGACATTGGAACGAGAGGTGCGCGGCTGCCAGGGCCTAATCATCTGGACGGATTGTGATCGAGAGGGCGAGAACATTGGCTACGAGATCATCGACGTCTGCCGTGCCATCAAGCCGAATCTGACGGTGTATCGGGCCAGCTTCTCGGAGATTACGACGACAGCGGTACGCCGGGCTCTGCAGCAGCTGGGGCAGCCGGACAAGCGGCAGAGCGATGCAGTGGATGTACGCACTGAACTGGATCTACGAACTGGGGCGGCCATCACCCGTTTTCAGACCATGCGCCTCCAGCGTCTGTTCCCCGAAAAGATTGCAGATAAGCTCATATCCTATGGAAGTTGTCAGATCCCAACTCTAGGGTTCGTCGCCGAACGTTACAAGGAAGTAGAGGCCTTTGTCTCTGAGCCATTTTGGAAGATCAGAGGTAAGAGAATCGAGAACCGAGCACCGAAATTTAAGTATTTATTTACTTCCTTTGCAAGTTCTCCACACGATTGATGACCTGACGGTGGAGTTCAACTGGGCACGGAACCGTCTATTCGACAAGGAATCTTGTGAGAACTACCTGCTGCTCTGCCTCTCGGAGCCCGCTCCGCGTGCTCTTGTAGAGAGCGTTACGGTCAAGCCCAAACACAAATGGCGGCCCACGCCCATGGATACGGTGGAAATGGAAAAGCTTGGCTCCCGGAAGCTCAAGCTGTCGGCCAAAGAGACGATGACTATTGCAGAGAAATTGTACAGCAAGGGCTTCATCAGCTATCCTCGCACGGAGACGAACCAGTTTTCCAAGGAGTTCGAGTTGGCGCCCCTAGTCCAATGCATACGGGCCACCCCGACTGGGGAGCCTTTGCCCAACGTGTGGTTGACTGGGGTCCGAATCCACGCAATGGCAGCAAGTCGGATCAGGCGCATCCTCCCATACATCCCACCAAGCCGGCTGACAGTGAGTAGATCCCCAGAAAGTCCTTATTCTTAATATACATTCTTAATCACTTAGATCTGCAGGGAAATGATGCTAGGGTCTATGAACTAGTTGTCCGCCACTTCCTCGCTTGTGTCAGCAAGGATGCCATTGGTTCCGAAACCCTTGTACACATAGACATTGCTGGCGAGAAGTTTACGGGAAACGGACTGGTTATTCACGACCGTAACTACCTAGACGTGTACGTGTACGAAAAGTGGAACGCCAAGCAGATCCACCACTACGAGCAGAGGCAGCGCTTTGAGCCGACAGAGGTGTCCCTGCACGAAGGTGCCACTACTGCGCCTCCGCTGCTGACGGAGGCGGATCTGATTGCTCTGATGGAAAAGCACGGAATCGGAACGGATGCCACTCATGCCGAGCATATCAACACGATTAAGGAGCGAGGCTATATAGGAGTATTGGACAAGGGGGCCCTGGTGCCGGGAGTTATCGGGATGGGCCTCTACGAGGGTTATGATGCCATGGAACTGGCTTTGGCCAAACCCCAGTTGCGCGCGGAGTTCGAGTCGGACCTGAAACTCATTTGTCAGGGTCAAAAGGATCCCAAAGTTGTTCTGACGGAGAATATAGCCAAGTATAAGCAGTCCTACCAACAGATTACCGACAAGATCACCGCAATGGACTCGAAGATAGCAGCTCGTATCAACGAAACCCCTGCGGCGAATTCCTCGAACCAGGAATCAGGAAGCGAGAACAGTCAACCGGCCATGATGCAAACTCTCTTTAAATGCCCTAAGTGTAATGACGGCCACATGGCTCTGAAGGCAAAGAAGAATCAGCAGGGCTGGTTCATCGGCTGCACCAACTTTCCCGACTGTAAAAATGTTGTCTGGATGCCTATGGAATGCAAGGACGTGACCGCTTTAGATGAGTGCTGCCCAAGCTGCGGTGATACACACCATCTGCTCAAGTTCCGCCTGAGCACGCCCTACTTCCGCGGCGTCTTCAACACCCCGAATGGCTGGTACAAGACCTGCCTGCCCTGCGACAATCTCTTCCGCTCTACGTTCCACATTAATTTAGATTCTGTGAAGAGAGCAGGACGAATTGTGGGGGAGGCAGGGAGTGGAGGAGACTGGCGACCAGGACCGGGGAGGAGGTGGCGGCGAAGGTGGGTGGAGGTGGAAGCGGAGGAGGAGGTGGCTCTGGAGCTGCTGGTCCTCCTCCAACTGGAAAGGGGATATGCCCATTAACGGCGGACCCAAGAAACCCAGCAAAACCGAAGAAACCACCAAAAGCCGACACAAAACCGAAAAAAGGCTCGAAATCCAGTAATACCTCCTCCACTGGCGGCACCATTCGCAGCTACTTTAGCTGTGCGGCTGCTAGTTCACCTTCCACCGAAATGGATGATTCTTTGACAGTAATGATGGGTTTGAGGAGGCCATGCTAGCTGCTGTGGACTCTGTGGAGACAAGTACGAGTACGACTCAGCCACAAGTCGCCAATTCGATCACTCTGGATGATGACATAGCCGCTGCCTTTGCCGCAGATGATGATGCCGAGTTCGAGGCCTTGGTGAACGGTTGCAGCACCACGGAAAGTGATAATCGTCTGGATTTAAGTCTTTCAGACTGGGTGAAGGCACAGGACGAAGCGAATGAGCAGCCAATGGTGTGGGGTAGTAGGGCTCGATCAGCCATCCCGACTGCGGCAGCCACACCGCCTCCGAGACCAGTAGCAAAAAGACCCCGCTTGGACAGCACCGAATGGGATAGGCCTTCCACAGGGGCAGCCGAACCAGAAGCAGTCCTGTGCACAGGATGTCACCAGCCAGCTCGTCAGCACACTGTACGTAAAGATGGTCCCAACCAGGGCCGGCTGTTTTACAAGTGCCCCAAGCCCAACGAGTGCAAGTTCTTCCAATGGGCTGATGAAGGGCAAGCACCATCTTCATTCAGACAGCCCATCCAGAGTAGCAGCAACACTGCCAACTCCTGGGGCACAAATCGTGTAGTAACTCTGCCAAGTCACCAGGAGAGAAGCAGTCAAGGGGGACAATCCTCGTTTATGCGGTCCAACTCTAGCAGCACTGTCACCATAACTCAAACAAAGACAAAGACCACGCAAGATCATGGAGGGGAGGAGGTGAAGTGCAACTGCGGGCAGCTAGCCAGCAGACTAATTGTGCGCAGGGACGGACCCAACCAGGGCAGACCCTTCTTTGCGTGTCCGACGCGAGAAATCATGCGGCTTTTTCAAGTGGGGCGATGAGGATCAAAACCAAGGTACCAGCAGCAGCAGCTCTTCCTGGGATCGGGCAATCGAAACCCGCCGGCCGGACGCAGTCAAGGCGCGGATTCTTCTGAAAAAACAGGGAAAACGCGTCGCTGCGGCTTGTGTCGCCAAGAAGGGCATAACCGCAATAAATGTCCGCGGAAGAATGACATCGATATGTAGGTAAGAAACCGCATTAAGTTGGATGAAAGGGTTGTTTCTGAATTAGTATTTGCAACGTGCATAATTACTATTGTTCGTTATATAGTATTTAAATATAATTTAAACATAAATATTTGGATGTTTTAAAATAAAGTAAATGGAAAGTGTCCTTATTTCAGATTAAGTTTTCGGCAGAAACATGTCCCTGTAATCACAGAGAATTACTCCATCATTTGAGTAAGAATAAATAAGACCAATTAATGCAAACCAATATAGAATTAAAA